GTCACATGGCCATTCTCCTTGAGGGAAGATTTTGTTACACAAAACACACAGCACACGCATGCATGCACGCGTGTGCAAATCACAGGTGAATTAGGTTTTTCAGTTTTATGTACCTCATTTAATAGGCACTGTCCATTTTTTCTATAAGACGCATTGGTAAACCTGTAGATAATTGCTTCACTTCATGCAGCACAGAATGAGGTAAACCCATGTCTCTCAGGAAGAGCAGGAGGGAAGGTGTAAAAGATGTTTTGAATAGTAGATGCTTCAGTATCCAACAGATGTGTGAGCAAGTTACAAGTTCTTTGAGATATTACGTAATGTGGAAGGGTAAGCATGCTCTGAAACTAACATTGGCTGAATGGATTCAGGGAAACTGGTTAACTGGGCTTGAGTTCTAGAAGTGGTGCTTACCTTCTGAAGTAATGCAGTGGTACCTCGGGATACGAACTTAATTCATTCCAGAAGGCTGTTCGAGTACTGATACCGAGCGAATTTGTTCCTATAAGGAATCATGTAAATCAGATATATCCATTTCAGACCCCTAAAAATAAACTTACAAAAGCACTTACATAAGTACACTTACACAATTATTCGAGTTTTAAGCTGTTGGTATCCCGAGGTACTACTGTATGTGGTGGAGATGCTGCTGTTCACAGGATTAATTGAATTTAGGTTGGATAATTATATGAATGAGAGGGGTTGGATTTGAGTGGGACTTGCAAATGAGTGGATATAGTTATCAGACCTTATTTCTTGGGGAGCATTGAAAATTGGGTTTGGTAAATATTTTGTTAGTGGGATGGATTGTAAAGGACCTGCCTAGTATGGGCCAACAGGCCTGCTGCAGTGTTCCTCCTTTCTTATGTTCTTATTTGTGTATACCTGAATAAATTTACTTACCTAATCCATGCCACCAAGCTTATGCTTAATAACTTTCCAAATTTCGTCCATCGTATTTAAGACCATAAAGTTTCCAGGCCAGTCGTTAAAGTATGGAAAAATCACATTAATTTAGCCAGTTCTTTTTGTCTTTGGCAGTCTGGCATAGGACACCATCTTCCATGCAAAAGTTGCCCTGGCATTTCTCGAATTTGTCATGCAAAGAAACTTTTTAAAGGTGTAATAAGCATGTTGAGGTGGTTTGGTCATTTAGAGAGAATGGATCAAAGTAGAATGACATGGAGAGCATATAAATTTGTAGAGGAAGGAAAGCGGGGTAGGGGTCGTCCTCGAAAAGGTTGGAGGGAGGGGGTAAAGGAGGTTTTGTGGGTGAGGAGCTTGGACTTCCAGCAAGCATGCATGAGCGTGTTAAGATAGGAGTGAATGGAGACGAATGGTTTTTGGGACCTGACGAGCTGTTGGAGTGTGAGCAGGGTAATATTTAGTGAAGGGATTCAGGGAACCCAGTTATTTTTATATAGCCGGACTTGAATTCTGGAAATGGAAAGTACAGTACCTACACTTTAAAGGAGGGGTTTCGGATATTGGCAGTTTGGAGGGATGTGTAATAGGACGGTATATATATACAGTGGACCCTCGACCAACGATATTAATCCGTTCCTGAGAGCTCATCGTTAATCAAAATTATCGTTAGTCGAGTTAATTTTCCCCATAAGAAATAATGGAAATCAAATTAATCCGTGCAAGACATCCAAAAGTATTGAAAAAAAAATTTTTACCACATGAATATTAATTTTAATACACACAAATTGAAGAAGACATGTACAATTACATGACACTTACCTTTATTGAGGATCTGGTGATGATTGATGGGATGGGAGGAGGGGAGACTGTGGATGGTGTTAGTGTTTAGAAGGGGAATCCCCTTCCATTAGGACTTGAGGTGTCAAGTCCTTTTCTGGGGTTACTTCTCTTCTTCTTTTAATGCCACTAGAACCAGCTTGAGAGTCACTGGACCTCTGTCACACAACATATCTGTCCATAGAGGCCTGTACCTCCTGTTCCTTCATGACATTCCTAAAGTGTTTCACAACATTGTCAGTGCCACAATTAAACACTTTCAGATTTCAGTTCTTCACTGTCTATGTACTCCTTGAATTCCTGCACATATTTTTCAGCTGCTTTTTAGTCCAAACTGGCAGCCTCACCATGCCTTATCACACTATGTATGCCACTACGATTCTTAAATCTCTCAAACCAACCTTTGCTGGCCTTAAATTCACTCACATCACCACTAGTTGCAGGCATTTTTTCTAATTAAATCCTCATGCAACTTCCTAGCCTTTTCACATATGATCGCTTGAGAGATGCTATCTCCTGCTATCTGTTTTTCGTTTATCCACACCAATAACAGTCTCTCAACATCTTCTGTCACTTGCGATCTCAGTTTCGAAAACATAGTTACACCTTTGGCAAGAACAGCTTCCTTGATTGCCATTTTCTTGGCCACAATAGTAGTGATGGTTGATTGGGGTTTTGTGTACAACCTGGCCAGCTCGGAGACACACACTCCACTTTCATACTTAGCAATGATCTCTTTCTTCATATCCATAGTAATTCTCACCCTTTTTGCTGTAGGGTTGGCACTAGAAGCTTTCTTGGGGCCCATGGTGACTTATTTTGCAGGTGCAATCACTAAAAACGCTGTGATAAAATGAAATGTTCCGATTGTATGTTTGGATGGGACCGCGGTGGCTGGCTGGCTTGTAAACACTGGCCACAAGTGGACGGGTCTCAGACGGAACGAATCGTGTTGGTCGAGTTTTTTAGCACTAGTCTAGGCAAAATTTTTGCATTAAAATGTATCGCTAGTCGGATTTAACGTTAGACGATGCCATCGTTGGTCAAGGGTCCACTGTAATTGGGGCCCTGATATTATATTCTATTGGGAGTTTATTACATTATTTCAGGTCACTTTTTATATTGTATCTTTATATATGCTTCTAAACTCTTGTACAGTAGGGCCCCACTTATACGGCAGGTTAGGTTCCAGGCTACCGCCGTAAAGCAGAAACCGCCATAAAGTGGAACACCCTTTTACACTAACATATATTAAGTTAGCAATAGAACCAGGCATCAAAAAACAATAAAAAAGTACAATACAAACATAGTGCACTCATTACTTACCTTAAAATATTTATAGTCTTAATCTAGGGTGAGACAAGTAGTATTTATTGTAAGAAATCAAGTGTGGTATGTATGGTAGTCAGCCAGGCTACCTTACCAGGCCACCCCACCCACACATACTATTCTATGATATTTAAGCATCCCAGAGCGGTAAAATGTATATACAGTTCACTCATTACTTACCTTAAAATATTTGTAGTCTTAATGTAGGGTCAGGAGTAAGTAAATGAGATAAAACGAATAAATGAGAGAGAGAAAGAATGAGTGCATGAGAGGGGACAGGCGCAGAGTTATGTAAACAAACCAGGCGAAGGTAAGTTTTGTAAACAAAGTGTACACATCTGGTTTGTGTACAAGTTACATTGTGTACAGGTTATCTCTACATTGATATGGTAGAATAAATAAAGAAGAACACTCCCATTCTCATGTAACATCATTTTGAGAAGAAATGATGCTCTGAGTGAAGGCAATGGAAATAAGTCACTCTGACTTTTTTGGGTTATCCTAGGTTCTCTACACATATGTTGTTATGTATGATGATCTATGTAACTGTATTTGTGTATACCTGAATAAACTTACATACATACGAAAGGAATAATTTTCTACAGTTACCCCCAGTAACACATTTTCTCTTATGTTAGATTAGAGAAAATATTATTCTTGCCGTCACTTGGACAAGTTATCTGGCTACCACATCTCATATTTATGTTTATTTATTCTATTGTGGGGTGCATTTACCATCTTTTTATGTTATGTATCGTGTTTATTATATAATTTTGAAAAAAAATATCATGGATGGATTAATGAAAATGTGTATTTAACGTAATATACGACATTTAAATGAGACTCGATGATTATTATTATCATTACTAATATGACGTCTGGAGACTTAAGACACTCTTACTGATTTTAATGTGTACCTGCATGCCAGCACAGTATGTAAGTTTATTTAGGTACAGGTATACATAAGTATAATTATCAGAGTATATATAAAATATGAAATAACTTTTAAAAACATTTGAAATTTTGGAGTTTCCAGACAAAATGGAGAGACTTAGTGCTTACTGAGCTCACTGAGAATGTAAACAAACAGGGTGGGGCGCGGTGACCGTATTAGAAAGTCAGGTGGGGGAGCCATATAGCGAGTTTTGGTCATAATTTGAAATGACCGTATTAGCGGTACGCCGTAAAGTGAAACGCCGTAAAGCGGGGCCCTACAGTATCTGGCCACCTCTGCAAAAACAGTGATTATGTGTGATTGAGGTGAAAGTGTTGATGATGATGAAAGTATTTTTGTTTTGGGGATTTTCTTTCTTTTTGGGTCACCCTGCCTAGGTGGAGATGGCTGACTTGTTGAAAAAAAAAAAAGCATGCATATTTGTGATGCCTACTGTAGATGTTTGTAATGCTATGAAGCACAGATTTAAATATCTATACTGTATAAGAGTACAGTATAATTTATTTATTTTTATTTATTATTAATTTGGACACGATACATAGGAGTACAAAGAAATAGTGGTTAAGTGTAACATGCCAAAAGCCCCTTGTATGCAGAGCATTATGGGCAGGCTTAAGATTAACTAAGCAATGATATATTCAGTGGTAAACATTATTGTAAACAAATAACAATTAAGCACAAATGAGTATTTCCAAGACAGGTCATATGGTCATTTACTGAGTTGCTGAGCATTCAGTTGAATGGAGTATTCTGTTAGGTAATGTAATTAAAAATAACAAAGTTTGATAGGGTCACAGGTTAAACATTTATGAGATACAATTATTCAGTATTTATTTAGTTGTGGGCGAGTAAGTGATTTTTAAGAAGAGACTTGAATTTTTAAACAGACAGTGTTTCTTTTATATTCACAGGTAATAACAGGCATACAAATTATTTAATTATTATTCACCAGGTTGGCATGAAAGGAAACCCAAAAATAAATAGAGGATTAGATGGAGATGTCATTGTGGCAGAAGTTCGAGCCACCAGTCACAAACCAGATGAAATTTATGGCATAATCGAGCGTCTCTCACCTGGTACACGGAAATTGGAGCTCTTTGGACGACCACATAATGTGCAACCAAACTGGTTTGTATACCTCATACTTATTTTATAATACTGGCTTATAGGTTTGTAATGTATGTTTATGTATTTGCTACTTGTGCAAATACACAATGAAGTTAAATTATTATAGAAAAATGAGTAAATATGTAATATCTAGCCTTTTTTTTTCACTAACTTCTGCAGCATAGCAAAACACCATTGCTGTATAATAGCTGATTCAAAAAGCAATTTGCTAATCATTAATTTACTAATAACAGACTGCTTCTCTCTGTTGTCTTTACTACTACTTGTGTGTTCACATACAAACTGTATTTTCTTACACCATGTTTGTCTCTTCATCTCAGCCATCCTCTCTCAACCTGAAACTCACTCGTACACTATAAATTTCAAATTAATTTTTGTACTATAATTTTATCATCCTTGTATTTCACATGTTCCTTAGATTGTCTATGTCTAGTCATTTTAGGCTCATGCTATACCAGTGTTACCACACAGGCTTGAAACTATATAGCCACACCTCTGCCTATTTTTTCTTACTAAATAGTTTATATTGCACTACCCACTCAACAGATGCATTTCAGATTATGATTTCTAAAATATTACCGACTGATTTTGCTTCAAACTTCCATTCTTTATAGTGCTAGTTTTTTTTAAAACTGACCATCTCCCACTAAGGTAGGGTTACCTGACAAAGAAAACACTTTCACTGTCACTCATTCAATCACTGTTTTGCCAGAAGGGTGCCAACATCATAGTTCAGATGACCTTCCAACCTGCAACATCCTTAACCCCTCCTCCAGAGTGTAGGCACTTTACTTCCCACCTCCAGGACTCAAGCCTGGTTAAGTGGTTTCCCTGAATCCTTTAATGTGTGTTACCTTACTCTACTCCAACAGCTCATCAAGTCCCAAAAACCATTTGCCTCCACTCCCATCTAAAACTCTCACACAGAAAACCTTTACCCCCTCCTCTCAGCCTTTCTTAGAATGACCCCTACTCCACCTTCTCTCCACTACAGATTTATGCACACTCCAAGTCATCCTGTTTTGTTTCATCCTCTCTAAATGTCCAAACCACCTCAACAGCTTCTCCTCAGTTTGCTGTTACTTTCTAGCTGATTGCTGTGCTTCGTGCAAAATTATGAGTGCAGCATTTTTATTTTAACCCTTAAACTGTCCAAAAGTAGATCTATGTTGACGTGCGTAGTGCTCCGAACGTAGATCTTCATCCGATTTTACATGCTTTCGAATGAAGAAACTCTAGGTCGGAGCGCTACACATGTCAATATAGATCTACGTTTGGACAGTTTAAGGGTTAAAATTCATATGTACAAACTCTCTAAAGGATTACATGCTTTTAGTAAATGCATATAGTGTACTGTACATATGTATATGCAGTTCTTTCATATATCATTCTTTCCCTGTTTCAGGGTTACTCTTGGAAATCAGTTAGAAGGAGTCAATTTGCTGGAGGAAGATCTAGTAAAATCCTTTAAGGAAAGATATCCAGATGGTATCTGTCGTAAGCCATCCTCACAGTAATTGGTAAGATTTAGGCCTAATGTTTTCATTTAGCATAAAATTAAATAAAAATACAAGTGTAGCACATCACTGCTGAATTGTTTTAAAGCAGTCTTGAATAGGCTGTGGATGTTCTCACGTGTCCATAATTGTTAACACTATTTATGTACATAAAATACAACATTAGCAAAATATTTAATTTTTAGAAGTGTGTGTAATGACTAGCTGGAATACATTTTCAGGTTTTAATCCATAATTATAACATCTTTTCAGGAAATAAGTGATGTAATTATTTCAGTTGCTTTGTATTCACAATGTTCAGATGGAAAAAAAAAATGCTGAAAAGATCTCATTACAAAACTACAAAAACACCATAGGTGTGTAGTACAGGTTGACCATCACTAATCCGGCATGTAAACGTTCATTCTTGTTCACTTATAATACTGTGTTGCTCTAGACCTTTTAGCCATTCACCTGTCAACTGAATTAACCTGTCAACAGACACACTAGCTGAAATTAGTGCCAGAGTAGTGATGGCTGATCTGTAGTAAAGTTCCAAAACCATGACAAAAGCTGTAGGTGTATGGCACTAAAGTCACAAAGCCATACCAAATTCCAAAGATATGGAGCACTAAAGAAGTATACAGTAAATCAATATAATAGATTAATAGAGGGGATTCTCAGAGTACTAAATTAGAATGTTAAAATACAGTGGACCCCCGGTTAACGATATTTTTTCATTCCAGAAGTATGTTCAGGTGCCAGTACTGACTGAATTTGTTCCCATAAGGAATATTGTGAAGTAGATTAGTCCA